ACTAGCGATGCCCTTTGCTCCTAGTAGCGTCCTTGCCCCTAGTAGTAGGCAGCGTGAAACGCCACGTGCAAAAGGCTCCTCCTTGAGCAGGAAGGTGCCAAAGCAGGCGCCGAAGAGATCGTTCAACGCGCCGAAGGGCTCATCCGCCACGAAGCGCCCTGGGCTTCCGAGGTGCAGTTGGCGCTGACTGCACCGATCAACCAGAGTGGAGCGGAAGTAAGAAAATATAACGAACTACGAGTATATAGCGGTCCTGGCCTATAGCGCACAAGTAAGTCAGCAAGACCTTGGAGCGGCCAGTGCTTCAGTGCTGTCGAAAACATGATCGTTTCCTGCCACAAGAGTCCCCCACACACCACTTCACATAGACCAACTTGGAGAGCATCTCTTCTGTCGGCGGCCTGGGTGAATGGCTCACGGCGGTGTAGTCACGGTGGATTTGCGGCGTTTCAACGACACATTTACTGAGACATGAACGCTGAATAGATTGAATGAGGGCCCAGGGGCAAAGTCATGGCTCACCTCTGCACAATTGTAAGCACCAAGGGCAAAACATTTGGCCAAACACCAAGCCCAGCCTTGGGCTGCCACGTTTAAACTCAGGGATCCATGGTCAAACCATTGAAAATCTATGTACAGCAGGATCCTCTGCGCGCCTTGCGCAAAGCGCTTTAAAATACTCTGCTGTATTCAGATTAGGGGGAGGTCCTAGAGGGTGCAATTCTTTAAAAGAGCACGAGTCACTCGTCTAGACCCTGAGTTTATCCCACACTACTTGAGTTCCAAGCATGACCAATGAATGCACTGTCAGCACTCGAACAAAACATCGTTTGTTACTGGGCTGTTTTGCAATCTGCAATGTCATGCATTGACGCCCACACCTGGAAAGTCCCTCAGAGCCAGCAAAACGAACGAAAAAAGGATTCACTTGAAGCATAGCCAGCATGGCCAAGCATAGCAAACCTGTGAAGTAGCAAACTGTAGTGTAGCTCAGATGAAGGAGCTTCTCCAGACTGGTAGTTGAAGTACCAAGGTTCTTGGGTTCACCTGAAGAGAAGCCACCGGAGTCTCGACTCATGCTTCGTGTACCATGAGAAGCAGCTTCCAAATGTATCTCGATCCCTCCCCCTGAGGCACCCTTTTGGATCTGCTTTACTTGTAACCATGACAATGCAGAACAAACCAATGCCCGCATTCCGCCGCAGAGCTGCTTTCCAGCTCGGCAGCTCTACTCAACTCGGCTCATCACCCTTCCTTCAAGGACCTGGGTTCAAAGCTGTGTGGAAGCGACCCAACTGCGAGGGAAATGCCGAGATCCTTGCGACATGATCAAACGCATTCCATTGCCCAATTCAGTGAAGCTCGTTTCGTCCGCAGAACCTCACATGTCACCAGCACACTCAGAACAAGACAACGCCAGTGCAGCCGTGACACTCAAATTATGCCACCCACGATGTGTCCAGAACCCCCGGCTGTGGCCCTGGCGAACCATGGTCTCGGCTGGGAAGAAACCAGAGCGAGACCTCAAAAGAAACCCGTTTCCTTTTTTGTAATGGCCTCCAACCTACTAGCAATGGCCTCGCCTCCAACCTAATAGCACAGTTTGCTCATTTTGCACAACTTGGGCCATGGCCAGCTGGACATCACTGAGGAGGAATATGGACCCTGAACCATGCCCGAGGCATCCTTGTAGAACCACTGACCTCAGAAATCTCAGCTTCATACGTGATGCAGTCTCAACCATTGATGTTCCCCCCGGAAAAAAATACGGGGACAACTCAAGTCATTGCTCACCGAGAATGCGACGCTCCTCCATGGGTGTGGCCTGCACCCAAGTTCTCCCGTCCTGTGAGTCCTTATTACATGTCATGTATAGCTAGTATAGCGTCTTTGTCCTTTTCATGTCCACTGAATTTCAGATCCGAAACTTGGGATAAGAACAAACATGAAGGCAATGGGGGGCCATTTGTGATCGCAAAGGTCCCGGGCTGTACAAAAGCACTTCAAACATCTGCGGCAAAAGGCTTTTGAAAGGCACGTCATCCCTGGTCGCCGACTGGACCTCCTCAACAACGGCCACCGCAGCCGAAACGGTTGCATTGCTGGCCGTCGCGGAGTCGGAATCAGGCCGCTTTAGGCCTTCGCGGAGTCGGAGACGCACCAAAATTGACCGGGGAAGCGGTTGATGCCCGTAGCTCGAGGATAAGTTTGAAGCTTTACTCAAGTCTTCCTGTGAAGTAAGTAGCTGTTGATTATGAAAACACAGCGGCCACATGTTGCCAAAATTAAGAACCAGAGAAAACACACACACAAAAGTGTCAAACAACCAAGGACACACGGAAACGACAGCCAAGATCACAACTAGGCACAGTCAGCGTTTGTGGTTCGTCGAGAGCGGATTTGATTGATGCACACCCGGGCCTGTTTCTGAGCTCTCCTGCAGTCTCAACAGGCTCCGATTGTCAATCAGGTCCATGAGTCCAACAAGTATTGAAGCACCTTGACCCGTATTCCGCCCTGTTTCACATTTCGCCAAACCAATTCGCCTCTGGGTTATCGGCATTCTTCGACCTTTCCAATGCAGCAGAATCCAGATGGGAAGCGAAGTAGAAAGATTTTTATCAACGCATCTCGCAGTTGCGCAGTAGCCCAGCAGCCACAAACACTGGCACTTTTAAATCCCCACTCCATGCATCTCCATGCTAACAATAAGGGCTGCAAATTTGAGGACAGCTGGGACAAACGGAACCTTCGCCATCCAAACGGTTCGTGAAGTTAAAAGGTCCTGGACATGTCTGGCCGTCTTGGCCAGATCTGCCCAGCTCAAAAATGCGACCGCTGACATCTGCTGAACCCGCGGCCCAAAGATACTCCCCAAGCTTGTGTCCCACAGTGTGTCCTAACATGGCCCGCTCCCAGGGCTGTTTAACAAATAGGACAACTCACACCAACATACCACGCATATTTGTAATGTTAAGCTTCTCGGGTGTAAGAGGTCCTCCCTATGCGGTGAGGCTTAGGTGACCACTGGCCAGGGCAGGAGCAGCTGGGTAGCAGTGACTTCACCCTTCATCGAAGATTCCAAAAAAGCAGCCTTAAATGGAGCCTTGCAAGGCACGAGTCATGGATGACATGACAATAATGTGTTTCAGCGTGCAGCCGACAGCATGCGAAACCGCTGTCCACATGTCCGCATGCGAAGCCGCATCTGAAAGAACTTAATTTGTGTACCAATGGGGGCACATCCTCTACTGGCATCCCCCCACATTGGGTCTGCGAAATGCTTTGGGGCCTTTACCCCATTGCTCAAGCTCTTCGGGATGACGCTGTTTGAAAAAACATGTTGTGAATGTGAAGCTGGAAGTTGGAATGAATGTCAAAGTCCTTGGGTTGAGGCTCCTTTTGAATTGCACCAACCTGAACAATATGGTCTCAATATGTCTCAATGGGGCCCTTAATCAGCCTCTATTCATGATTGACTTCACTTTGGCTCCACTTTAAGCTTCGCAAGCTTCTGGTAGCAGCAGCCTCAAGGCTTGACAAACGAAAACAGCTGCCTTGCCGGTAAGAGAAGGGGTAGAAAGAACATGAAAGAACGATCATCGAAAAGTTAAAAGTATCCAAAGTATCTGGAAAGGAACAATCTCTTCAAGACTATAGACTATAATACATTCACAAAAAATACCAAAGCAAACGACAAAAAAGTCAGGGATGTGTAGATCATCCAGTGGATTCAGATCTTCAGCTAATGGCTTCGACTTCGCTGAAAACGCTGCTCCGGTGGGCTGTTCCATCGTAGGCCAAGTAGGTCCATCTTCCAGTGCACGAGAGATCTTCGGACACCAGGCACAGTGCTTCGGTGACAGCAAGGGGCCTCAGAGAATCAGCTTTGCCAGGAAGCTTCTGCGAAAAAGCTGTTGATAAGTTGATCAGTTGGAAACCTGATGTGAGGGACTGCAAAAAAATACTACAAAACTTGCCCAATTGACATTGAATGCTTGGTGGGCAAGCATATCAGTACATTGCTGCCGGTCTCCATGATTCGGTTGACCCTGAGCACTGGAAATGCTCTTTTGGTTCCTCATGTACGAACCCAGCCGCCCATCTTCAGAGCGCTTCGTGGGCTGAATGGTGCAAATTTCCGTGCCATTGGCACACACGGCCCATCATCATCGTCCTCCTTCAAACCAATTGCAATCTAATCACCAGCAGTTCAATCAAGTGCATGATAAGCCTTCATGTCTAGCACGTTATCAAATAGACTCAAGCAGCTAAAGCCCTTCGCTTCAAGGCCAGCTCTCTCCTCCGCTGCAGGCCGCTCAGGATCCGGGCAAGCGGGCGTCTTCTCCGCTGCTCCCTCGTCCTGCGGGTTCTGATTGTCAGCAGCAAAAGCTGAGGGATCATCAGAACGCTTCTCGAACTGTCGAATTGTACAAAGTCGGAACCAAAGTAACGGATCAAGAGTATGCATCGCTACTAGTAACAAGTGCATCGCTAGAAGTTACTAGTAGCAAGCCAGTAATAGAAAACTCCGAATCATCCGTCATGTTGCATGGTTGACAAAAAAATGGCTACCCAAAGGCCTCATCTTCGCGCCGCTCATAGCCCAAACGCTCGTAAAAGAGCACAGCCGAGGCCAAGGAGCGCAAGCGAACCTCTCCAGCCTGGAAGCCCTGGCGGCCCGAAACGAGCGCGGCGGTTGACGGTGGTTTGACGTCTGCATGCAAGAAGCCGAACCTGAAAAGGAGGTCTCCATGATGGGGCAGAAAACAATGTGCAAAAGTCGGCCAAAGAAAAGTCATCAACGTGTTCAGTAGCTGGAGCAAGGAATGAAGTCGACCTATACCTGTAAAAAAAGAAACATATTCCAAGAGTTGCTTAATGAGAAAGTGGATGTTCGCTCCTCTGGCGTCATGATTCCAAGCATGGCAGCACGATCTTCTGCAACTTTCCTTGGGAAGCGTGGCCACACACAAATGCCAGAAACGCTACCTGTCCGGGTGATTGGATGACTCCTCGATATCTTCAGATGAAAGATCATGAAGCCTTGTGGCTTTACTACTAGGAACAAGAAGCTACTAGGGGCTCCTGGCATCGCTACTAGGAGCAAGGACGCTACTAGGGGCTCCTGGCCTTACTACTGGGAGCAAGCACGCTCCAACGATGCATCAATTGTGGCCAAGACTCATCAATTGCCGTCCGTAGCCCTTTCCACGGTGCTTGTCTGCAACACCTACTGCGCCTGCACAATCCAGCTTCTCCCGTGTGTGGACCAATCAGTTTATCTTACTCTCCAATGGCGAGGCCCAGCAAGTGAACAAAGAAGAAAGCAAGAGATGAAACAAGGAAGCTAAGGAAAGGTAAGGCCGCTTATAGAAATAGGAAGCCTTTAAAGGGACCCTTACGGCCACCCAAAATCGTTTCTCTTCTATAATCACGATAATCGTCCCCCTATACTGTAAATAAACTTAAAACCCGAAGACGAAGAAAATGTCTGGTCACATCTAGCGAAGCCTCGGGCCTACGCTCACACCTGGCACTGGCGGGCCCCATGTCTTGAAGGCCACGAAGCCAAGTAGGTCCAGTCTAGGAATGTGAAGATTGAAAGCTTTGAAATGCAAAAATGTTATTGCTTTGGTCCATCTTTAACACGTTCCTACCATTAAACATCGTCAAGCTTGCAATGTCAAGCTCTTGCCGGTAGAAATGAGTGAGTTTGATGCTGTAGCAGAGAATGGATCGTATAGTAGAAGATGTCTAATCTGAATGTCATCTAGATCGAAAGATCTAAAGCAAAAAGTAGGATCAAATTCCTCAGTATCGCTGGAGCTGCGTTGGTGCCATTTGGCAGCTTCGTCATGTGACGCTCTGATTGTCAGCAACACACATGGACTTACGAAACTGTTCAATTCACAATCCTAAACCACCCTGGAAGAAGACCAAAGTACAGGAAACATGTCTGCAGCTTTGATATTATTATGTTGAAAGAGTCCAGTCAAGTTGGCATCTGCTTCCGTCTCCCTTTCTCCCACGTCAGATAAGTAGCGCAGGGTCTTCGTCCGGCTGCTGCTCAACCAACAGGCTGAGCTTGAGATTAAATTCCTCAAGAAAAACATGATCGCAATCCGGGAGATCGATAGCGCCCGCTTTTGATGTTCAGAAAGCGTACGGATGCACAAAACGTGTCACCAAAACACAGAAGCCTGGTTGTGCTGTGTTCAAACCCCTCGATTCAAACCCTTCATTGACCTTGACAAGACACCAACTGCGCTCGTCGGAAGTTCTTCAGATCTGCACCAAACCTAGGTGAAATGGGACAGTTAGCGTCCTTGCTCCTAATAGCGATGCCCTTTGCTCCTAGTAGCGTCCTTGCTCCTAGTAGCGATGCCAGGAGCCCCTAGTAGCTTCTTGTTCCTAGTCACCAAGTCCCTACACGGCAAAAGCCGTGTAGTTACGCCTCTCATCACCTCCCACAGGCTACGTCTCTGAAGCTTACCTTCACTCTCCTACACTCTGCTCTACGTCTCTGAAAAGGATGCAGGATGCCTTGGCAGTCATGAAACACCCACTTGCAGGAAAGTCAAACATCTTCTCTCTTCCAGCATCCGTGCCATCCTAGCAGCAGTCAGGACCACTTATAAAATTCCATTCCCCACAGTGATATCTAAGTGACATATTCTTGTAGGACTTTGGCTCATCTAGTGCTGTTCCCGCCCCAAAGACCCAAAATTCACGTGGCCCACACACTACCAAAAAGCTTGGCACCACCACTTCCTCGTTTGCCTCCTTTGCCTCGTTTGCGTTCTTTTTTCTTTCGCTCCAAGGGCGTCCAAGGGACTCTTCCATGAGGAGCTCCGAGAGTTGCTGGTCAATGACCTCACCCAGCCCAGAGATGGCCTCCGTCGTGGCACGCGACAGCCTACACGGTCAAGGAGCGAAGCCCATGGGAAGTCGGTCAAAGACCGAGCCAAGGGCAGCCACCGTGGCTCGGGTAGCTTTGGTTTTACCTCAAATGGAGCCATCGCGCCATCCCACCTCTTCAAACCGGTACAAACACCTCATTCAGTCAGACACATTGGTGGACACATCAGGAATGGCCTCTCTGTTGGGAGTCGCTACTAAAGCCCCGAAAGCATGACTCAAAACCAATGCCGATACATTCTTGTGCAAAGGAGTCCAATCTTTGAACCTTTCAATGCCCGAAAAGGACTGTCATGGTCCGGAGCCTTCTGGTGCAGAGTGTCTCCGGATAAGACAAACAAATCAAGGACACTGCCGGTGTCTCTCGTTGACAAACCCTGGTCACTGGACTCTTTGGACACCGCCAGTTGCAAAACTAGAGGCATAGGCATCTTCGATCTCCGGATCCTCAAGCGCCACATCATTGAGAAGGACCTCCTGTGTGAAGGACGCAAGAGGGTGCCCAACTGCTTCTTACCCCCACCCATGGCTCTCATGTTACTCAAAGGCTTGCAATCACCATAGCTCCCTTTAACAAAGGCAAGGTTGCCTCGGCTGCAGCGCCCTCGACGGCAGTGCCTGCGCGCTTTTTTTCCACTAAAAGGCTTCAC